TTGCGTGCCCGTCATCTTCGGTCCAGCAGCTCTTCTTCGGATCTTCCTGTCCATGATTCGAAGGCAGCTTTATCATGCCCTGTTTCGGCATGGGGTGTTGCTGAAGCTCGAGCAGACGCCGCTTTCCCGTGATTTCTTGTTGATATGGTCCGGTTTGGGCTTGATCCTGGCAATCTCTGCGGTACTGCGTGGGCTATTTCTGGCAGTACAGACTGGACACACAAGCCTTGATGTGATTGTAACACAGCTGTTGGTGTTTATATCGCCTCTCTACACGATTGTCTCGGCCTTGCTGTACTCCCTGGACATGGAGTCTGCATGTTTGAAGCGGAGGTGCGTCATAGAGTTGGAAAATGTGGGCGAAAGGTTGTCAGTGAGCACAGATCGTGAGGTCACAGTCCTGTCAGAGCATGAGCTCTGTGCAGCTGCCAGCACGGTGACGTCTGCATCGGACTTTGTGAACCTCAGTGGAAACGGGCCTGCGGCAGAAGGCTGTGGCCTTCGCCTCTCCACATGGGACATGAGGTGGGCAAGTCGCCTTGTCAGCCAAACGTGCCGAGAACATCGCATGGCGCTATTGCTGTTTATGCCGGTGCTTGCAATCTGCATCTTGGCCCTCAACCTGAGCTCAACGCTGCTTTGCATTAAGCACCGCAGTGACATGCCGCAGCTCTCCTCCTTGCAGTCAACAATTGGGGAGTTAACGCCCCCACTATCTCCTGAGATTCGGGAGCACACACTTTATGTCGACATCATGCGCCGAGCGCTCTCCATTGAGGCTGGCATGGACGATTCTCAGACGACATCTTTGAAGGTGTCGATCGAAGGAGATGCAAGCCCACCGCAGGAGTCTCGATTTCAGCTGGACAGCTTGAAGCTGGACCGCAAGGCTGTAAATAAGTTCCGCAATGTCAGATGTTTCGCGAGGATAAGCGGGCTTGGCTGCTTATCTCTTTAACACCTGCCCGCTGAAATAGAAGTGGTCTGGAGTACGTAAGATGCACCGTTTAGGACAAGAGGGATATGATTTGACAGATGGCACTGACAAAGAAGCAAACTTGCAGCAACATGTGACAGCGAACGACTTGAGACATTTCTGCCATCGTTCTTATTGCAGCTGAGGCGCTCTACCAAAGTTAGACTTCACCGTGATGGTGCTGCATACCCCACGACCGTTGCGATCAAGGCGACGACTCGCATAGAGGCACGCTAAGTCCATACTTCTTAGGATTCAAGACTTGAGCTTTTCAATTCTTGAGCTTCTAAGCAGTCTGACTTCAGTTTCCATAACCGGCCAAAGACCGTTTTCCCTTTTTCCTCTCTGCAGTTAACTTGTCGGTCTTTCGTTTTGCAGGCAGAAAATTACCGCCTTCAGATCGTACAAATTACGACGGTTCTCCGCACCTTGATGCTGACCGGTGAGACATCCAATGGCATGAAGTACAGGCGCTGCATTTTCGGGAATTGGTTATCACACGGGCATCTTGCACTACCGAAACACCTTCAAAGCCTTCGGATCGAGATCACGTATTCGAACGTTCCCTACGGAATCCCGTTCAGTTCCGCCCAGGCAGACAGGTTCTCGACCGTGTACCTACCGATGAACATACCGACGACTCCAGGGGACTGTGAGCGATACTGTCTGCAGGAGAGCGGATGCTTCGAGTCCAGGATTTCCAGCACGAGCGGCTGCTTCTTCATTTTTGGGCCCCGCGACTTGACATGCGAGCAACTGCATGTGCAAGACGACAGGGGTCAGCAGGCGCCTTTCCCGCTTCATCTCCTGGCGGAGCTGTGCTCTAAAAGTCGTACTGCGTGCACCTTGTTTGAGCGCGGTTCGCGACAACACTTGCTGCTGGACTTGCTGAAGGACAACTTCTCAAACAGCACTGCGTCCCTGAAGACTTACATGAACTCCAGCGGGTCCGTATTCCCATTGAAACAGAATGACATAGCATTCCATCTCGGCACTCCGCCCCTCAAGACTGTGCTTGTTGAGGCCCGGCAGGATGAGATGAAAGTTTCGGTGAAAACTCGAAAGATCGACTCTGGCTTTCGGTTCGAGGTGGTGTTGACCTACGATCCAACCCGCACGGCTGCTCCGTGGAACAACAGCTGGTTAGACGTTAACCTGGCAGGCATTCCCGAAGATTCGAGCTTTTTGTTGCAATGGGAAGGTGGGAAGACGGCGGTGTCCTCGGCCGAGCAAGCTCCTTTTCGGGCTGGGCAGTGCGATGATGGCTTCTCCCTTCACCATTACAGGGTTTGTGGGGGCCATTTTGACTCGCCAGTCACGACAATCAGAGTTGATCCATGGGCCCCAACGCAGTCTGTCTACGGGATATTGAATTCCACTGCCCCGTGGTTGAACCAGGCACAGACTGTGGAGGTGCGGCTTACAACTCCAGACAATTTGGAGCCGATGCAGTCCTTGATCCGAAATTCCTGCAACATACCCGTTTGTCTGGGTGGCTTCAATGATTGCATATCTCGTTGGCATTGCAACAAGAGGAATTCATGTTTCCACTCATGTAGCCAAGAAGCGCTTCGCAACTGCAGCAGAGAGCGTGAGACTGGGTCTCAGTTCGTTGCTGTCATCTCGCCGAAGTTCGGGACAGGTTTGCTGAACTCATACAAGAAGCCCTTCGTATGCAAGTGGCAGGTTTGGCTTGGAAGCCCAGATCACTAGGCTCTCACGTGTGCGATGGTGGGTTTACGCTTTTTTCTCGGGGCTCAGGGCCCGTGAGCCGAGGCCGCAACAGGCATCTAGGATATCTAGGCCCTTCAGGGTTTAGGGCTGAGCCAAGGGACCCTTCTGGATTCAAGTCGGGACAGCTCAGGTTAGGTCTCACTGCAATTGCGGAGCCCGAGCCTGGGATGGAGAAGCACTTCACACGCGAGGCAGAAGCCTCTGCTTAGCTTCGCGTTAAGAATAGGGCAAGAACGGACGGGGGGGGCTTTGATTTTTTTTTGCATCATTGAGCAGTTCCGTCAGGTGATCAAGGATGTCGCTGCTCACTGTGGGATCAAGTCTGGGATGCTGCACCTCGTGTTCCACAGACTCCGATCGCTTCAACGAAGTCCACAGAAAGCGAAAGCCATGCAGCTTTTCCAGCGTTTGTCACAGAACCCGGACTTTCGGGAAAAGCAGCGGGTGTTGAAAAGCCCACTCCTAGCTCCGCTTAAGGATATCTTACCGACGTCATGGATGTCTTTGAAGGAAGTTGTGCTTTACTCTCCGGAATTTGCTCAGCTGCAATATACCTTGTGCCTGAATGCTCCCATGCCCAAAGACACAGGGAGTATCTTGTCAGCTCTGCTGGACAAAGTTGCCGCTGCTGACGATTCGAAAGAGTACGAGGCCAGTTCTCGCTGGCAACACACCCTTTCTTCCCTCATCCAGTGCATGCAGGACAAAAAGAAGACTCCATTTCCACCCTCTTCTTGCAGGAGCGATACAGGAAACATGGACCAACCCTCTCTCTTTCATACGGCATCAACGCCTTCTACGTTTGAGCTCTTGCTGCCACTGTGTGACACCTCCAAGCCCATGGACGCCACTCAGAGCTCGGTGCTCCACCTGGCGGCCCAGAAGAACTGGTCGGAAAGCTTGAAAGCGGTGCTGAAAAGGCCCGGAAAGTTCATCCCTGATATTAACGGTCGACGGACTGAAACACTCTCACCACCTGAATCCCAATATGAATGGGTGGTGATCGAGAACATGACGCCCCTGCATGCCGCGGTCCGCTCGCGGTGTTATGGTTGCACCGAGGACTTGCTACACGCTGGTGCTGCCGTGAATCTGACTGTTGATATTGTCGCCACTGAAGGTATCAGCTACGTGCCAACGGGACTGAACCGACTAGGCTATGCAGAGCGTGATGCATCGCTGCATGGCTTATCACCCTTACATCTAGCCGCTGCCAGTGGATGCGTGGAATGTATCCGACTGTTGGTCGATGCGCATGCCCCCATCAACGCTGAGAGTATCCTCGCAGACCAGGATGTATCATGGGATGGCTCGGCCAGGCAGGTCAAAGATATGGGCAATTGCAGCTTGGAGTGCCTACTGACTGGCCCGTGCTGTTCCCTTTGGGGTGGGGGGGGGGGGGGAATTCATGCTGAAGGGATTAATCGTGTTGTCGTTTCCACTGCAAGGCACTTTGCGTCCGCTGGACATTGCTTTGAGCCACTGCCAGCCGTGCGCACGGGAGCTTCTACGTGCAGGTGCAACTTTCGAGCACGTCGTTGTGCCTGTGCACTGGAGCTGGGGCAACCCTCGCAAACGCAGAAACTTGTGGCCTTCCAGAATTACGGGTTTCTGAACAGGTCCTAGATCTTAGGCCGAGGATTGGCACAGTGACTGCCTGCTTCCTGCTGAGGCAAGCTTCTCTGGATATGGTTCCGAATGCGACAGTTCGCGTTTGCCAGGACTGGTTTATTGCAGAGGACCTGGCTCAGTCGATGCGGCTCCTGGCATCTCTCAAGTCCGTACACAGCATGAAATAATGAGGGTCTGAGCTCTGTCTCACACATTCACGGGCTGCCTCTGAAAAAGGAGTCAGGTTCTTTTGACTTCACAAAAGCTTGGTTGCTCCTGTTGCAGGTTTCGACCGTGAGCGCTTTACCCGAGAGATGTGGCGCACGACCCTGTCCCGGGATCTTCCCAACGCGGCTCGTCTGCTAAAACATGCAGACGGGCAGTAGTCCCCAAGCCCGCGGCGACGGTGTCACATCATCTGTCAGACTTGTGCAAAAACGCGTTGGGGTTTTCACAGATTACGAGAGTTGCGGACGGCGAGCTGCTTGCTGCTGATACGTTCTTGGTTCGTCAATGTTCGTCACATCACAGGTGTCACTACTCCTCCATAACAGGAAATTTCATGGAAAACACCACATGCTACAATCTAACTTGAGCAGCCAAGATTGGCATTACTGCCACCTCACATCGGCGCTTATGTTTAAGCCTGAAGAACCCAGCCCTAGACGCGCCTGTTAACATGTGGAGCCTGCCAATGTGCGGTGTGGTCATGACTTGTCCAACTGCGTCCTCGTCTTCCTGCATGTCTGCCGCCCAATTGCTGTGCAGCTGCACCTGGTATCGTGATTGCAACTATTGAACGTTGCAGGCCGTGTGCAGCACTGCCGGTTGCAACGCCGGCACAGCGTTGCACACTCAGCATGTGCCGCATCAAAAGACTACCGACTGGTGGCCACAGCTGCTCAATGCTGTCCCCTGGGTCGCGAAAATTGATGTTTCGATGCCTTCCGGAACAACGTCTTGCTACGCATTCTCCCAAGCATCGTGTTGCTTCTTCTGTTGTCAGGTCTCCAGGTTAGCCTCGTGCACACCCTCAAGTGGACATTAGCTCTGCTGGTGTGCGTATGGGCCGCGCGGTCCTAAGTCCAGAAGCAGACAACATGTTAGAAATGCCAGTGCCGATGAAGTCTGAGGTTTGCCGACTGCGCCGGGCTCGTCAGCGACGGGCTTGGAAGCGTCCTGATGCCGAGCTGGTACTGCGGTTTGTTCGTGGTCCCTGAAAGGCAGCCTCGGCGCAGGCTAAAGGGATTTCCTGTTCCAGAAGACTACCGAGCAGCCCTGCACCCGGGTTCAAGAAGCAGTTCTGCTGTGACTTCTCAAGTCGGAGGCCGGTGTGATCTTCTACACCGTGGATGAGCTTCAGAACGTAGGTGGGAAGGTTTTGCAGCAAAGCTGCTACGTGTCCCGTGTCCGGCTCTTGTTGTGGCAGGACAGATGTTGCTTGCCGTGGAGGATCGAAAGGTCAGTTTGCGAGAGCTTGGCTGGGGCCCCTGAAACTTGTAACCGCTTTCTTCGCCACCGGTGATGCTTCCGTGGGCCAACGGGTATCTTCTGGTTCCAAGGTGTTGGCTCGGGTTCCGGCCAGAAAAGGGCCATGGTCTTGGGTGGGGTTGGCCGGGGGCTGGCAAGTCCTTCCGTGCCTTTGAGCTGTTGCGCTTATGAGGTGCTGCTGTTTCCACAAGGGAAGCGCGAGCAAGAGGTCTGGGCTGGTGCACCATTCTCTTCACTTTTGACCACGGCACTGCGGCTGTAGGATGCGGGCTTTGTCGCAACGGCACGCCGAGAGTTCATCGAGGTGCAGACTGTTCAAGAGATGTGAAGACATGCTAAGGCAAAGCTGTCACAGAAGATCATCTTGCATGGTCTGACACTGGCACGCATGCCCCCCGATACAAAGTGGTATAAACTGCAAATGCATCTTGACCCCTAAGGCCCAAGGCAATACATGAACAGCCTGCTCCATGCTGGTGCAGGAAACAGGTGATCCCACGAGTCTTTCTGGGTATTTGGAAGGCCGATTTCGGTGGTCGGTGTCGATGCGCAAAGCAGCTGAAAGTGTACCGATTTCGATGCCGTGCATACATCACCGAAATGCTCTGTCTGTAGCACGAGCTGCAAGCAGGGAACGCGCTGTCTACGTGGTTTCCAGCAGCGAAAATGGGCGTGGTATTTTGCGAGGCACAGAACCATTTTCACCAACAGCAATTCTGCACAACTCTGCAGAGCTCACCACTGCAGGTTCCGGCGAGTGCAGCTGAGCCATTCAGCCAAAGAGCGCCATGGCGGCAATTGCAAGACGGGCAGCATTATGCCATGGATCAGTTGTGCGTTTGCACACGCTTGCGAGAGAAAGGCACCTGCGCCACAGCCACGCCCCCGGCGCCAGCAACCGCGACAGCAGGACCACAAGCACTTTAGCGGTAGCATATTAGAGACTGATAATGCAGACATTGCAGATGCTTTCTGCGCAGGAAAAGCAAAGCCAGCAAAAGAAACCCTGGCCCTTGCAACCCGTCTGGGTCGATGCCGGGTTCTTTTCTGCAGTGTTGCTATGACGGTGACAATGCAGTGTTTGCAATCGCAGAATGGAACATGCGATCAGTGGTTCTCAAGGTTTGTAAAATGCCAAAGACGGCCAAGGTTTCCTCGCTCCGCAGTGCTTTAAAATCAAGCACAGGCGGGACGTTTGTTTTTGAGCGCCAAGGGAAGTTGCAGAGTAGATTGGCAGTCAAGGCCAAGTGGCAACGACTATCGGACTGTTCCACCTGTTTCCAGCTGCGGCCTCGTTCACCGTATGCTGCTCCTATATTTGGACTTGCCCCCTTCGCCCTGACCCTCAAGTTCAAGTTCATTTGCAAGACAGACAGTTGGATAGTCAAGGTGACAAGGAAATTCTTCTTGCTCGATGAGGTCAGTGACTGGCTAGGCATTTCACGTTCTCGCCGCAAGTGAATCGTATTGCCACTACACCTAGTGTTCACTCTTGGACCGCCCAGCGTCAACCTAGCAACTCGAGAACTTCATCGGAAAGACGCTTGTTCTTGTCGCGACCTCGTCACTTTCTAGAGTGACCTACTGTACAGAATGCGAGCGACAAAATACCGACGTGTTGTGCTCCCAGCATGAGGCTGCAGCGAGGTCCTGCCTGCAGACGTTTCAGATTCTGTCTCGATCTGTTGCTGCAGCTTGCTTTTTGCCTGGATCGGGCACGTCCATATGGGACATGGCTGCAGCAAACAGCAAGACAGCGTCGTCCACGCAGTGCTATCGACTTCCGTGACATCATCGCTCAGAAGAGCCAACTCGTTCTTTGTGTGGCATGCTCTCCGTTTCGGTCTTTCGAGGCAGAGTCTGAGACTTCAAAGGGTCGAAAAGAGTCCAAGGAATCCGATTCTTTCGAATCTGTGCAGGCGGCCAGGCGGGCCAGGCGGGCCAGGGCCCGGTCGGCCTCTGTCGATCCAAGGCGGTGCAGGCCACGCTGGTTTCCGCGAGGTGCTGCGAGAGCTGCGAGAGCTGAGTGGAAAGCTTTGCGCAGCCTGAAAAGGGTAACGGGGCGAGCATTCAGGCGAGGGCCGCTGTGGGGAATTGAAAGCCTCGGCCTGGTCGCGAGCGCTGTCCTTCTCAGAGGCTTCCAGTGCCGTCTCTTCCGATTCTTTCCCTCGAGTCCCATGTCAAGGACGGAAGCACAATGGAAGGACCGCCAGAACTGCTTCTGCAGGCAGCTCCTTTTGAATGCTCTTTAGTGTGATCCCAGCCTAGGTCCTAGGTTTGCTCGAGCCAGGTTCCTTATTTCTGCTTCCCGATGGGCGTGACATCCGTGTACTCACAAACGAGGGAGAAGTGAAACTGGCCGTAGCGGTCCGGAGCTTTGCTTTACCTCCTAGATTCCTAGATCAACGAGAAGGGCATGGTTCTGAGATGCTTGTGCTGAGGCAGAAGTTGCCAGTTGTTCAAGTGCCCCAAGCTCGTTTGCTCATCGAAATGTTGTGACCGCTGCATTTCTGGCACCTGCCGCAGCATTGCCGGCTCTTCAGTCAGTAGCGAGGAGGTGCTTGCAAGCTGAATGGGGATCTGCTGGGGCCAAACTGCGCAGCCGGCCTCTGATTTGCACGGAATGATGTGACGGCCTGCTAAGGACTCAGAAGCCCACTTATCACAGTCTCCTGCTTTAATCCTTCCTTCAACCAGGGAGCACGTCTCTCTGTCGCCACTTCATTACACTCCATACACTCAATTCGAGCATCAAGAACGCACTATCGGGTGATCGCCACGAGACCAGCATTAGTGCTGACTCGCACAAAGCTCACGCTTACAGCATCTCGAGCGTGCCTGCGTAACAACAAACAGAGAGAGAGAGAGAGAGAGAGAGAGAGTGAGTGAGTGAGTGAGTGAGTGAGTGAGTGAGTGAGTGAGAGAGAGAGAGAGAGAGAAATATTCGATTCTCACTCCCCGTACGCCCAATAAAACATTGG